TATTTTATGATTAACTCAATTAGCATCTAAGATTTGTTTTTCATATCAGTAACCATTGGCGCCGGGCAGAATGTAATTGGTCTCTCATTAAAGGTTAATATTGATTGCTAGAGAAATAATGAGATCTTTAATTGTAGCTTATAATTCACTTGTAAGACATACATACTATACTTTATTTTACCTTGTATATATATATTTTTTGAATAGGGGAAGTAGTGAAGTACATAACGAGGCATGTAAATGATTGGACCCGTGGATGAAGGTAATAATTTTACCTTATGTTTGATAATGTTTCTACACATGCTTGGAATTTATAGTTTCGCTTATAATTTATATGAGTAGTTTACTTCCATTATTCTTAACTTATAGGCATTTACCAGTAAAGATCAAGTTGCATTCAGGAATAAGGGAACAAGAATCAATGTGACAGAGGAGCGGTGGTCATTTGAATCTGCAAGCATTTGATCTTAAATTGATTAGATAGATAGCATTGCTAAAAGAATACTGTAAAGTCGAACATAGTTTTGTGGAGCGTCATTATGTGAGTAATTTGGTTTAGTGTGGTATTTTTTTGGACTTCGTTTTTTGCTAATTATGATTATGCTTAATATTGTGGTTGATATTATCTTGATTGTTGTTTTTTATTGATAAGGAATTGTAATATAAAAAAATACTGATGAAGAAAAAAACAATATAGATATTTGGATAAAATATGGTGTTACCAGATATATTTAATATAGGTTAGTTCAACCGCACATAGAAGGTCTTTAATAAAGGTTAAATATCACCGGACATCAAATACTTTTGGCAACGGTTCACTATTAACTGATACTAAAACATTTGATAACGGTTAAGCGAACTCATACCAAAGGTACCATACTTTTAACAGGTGCTGCTACAATAACGGTTCTGAACCGTTATTAAATCCCTATTTTCCACTAGTGAATTTTAGTTACCTTCACCCAATAATGGTGGGATGTGACCGGCAACCTGTTTAGTCAATTAAAAAAGAAATATCCCATTATATTAATTCGAACTATCATTTATTGCCTTCTTTCAGACCCAAAGAATACAATTAAATTTCTATAAATGAATAAAATGGGTAAATAAGATTATAAAATTATAGTTTTTACTTAACTAACTTTGTTAGGTAGTTTGTGGAATTAAACAATACAAAATATATAGTTCTATAATATGAAAAACTTATATAAATTTCAAAATTAAAACTTCAAACTAAGTACAAATTGAAATTGAAAAAAATTAAAACCTTGATTTTTAAAATTAAGAAGTCAAAATGATAAAAACACTACTCCGTAATACTTTTTTCAAAATATTTAAAAAGTTAAAAGCTAATAATCCTAAAATATTAAATCATTTTAAATAATTTCAAAAATCAATAAAATCATGGATTTGGTAAAGAATCCAAAACGATTAATCATAAAAAATAAAATTTTTTTCTGAAAAAATTGTACCGTTTTTTCTAAAACACAATACAATTTTAGATTTAGTTAAAATTTAATTTATAAAAATTCAAAAAATGAAATTTAAATAAATTTCTTTGCTTTATGTAAAATGTTGAGTTGATGGTTGAGATTATTAAAAGAATAGAAAATATTGTTCAGATTATTTATAGAATATGCTTAGTTTTTATTCAAATTTCACCTTTTATAGTAGCTTATACCCGGTCCTCGAATATTATTGACAAACGATTCATATAGTTGAGATTATACGGAAATAATCAATAGTTGAAAATCATAAAAGTATTAGCAATTTGTTTTTTCATATAATGACATTTAATAAATTACGTATGACATTACCAAAACTAAGGTAGAAAGAATTCCCTAAATAGGAGTAAAAACGTTTTGAAATTCCAAAATAAGAGTATCCTGTTTTTCATTCCCTGAATACGAGTAAATTTCTGCCAAATTTGGCATTACAAGGCTTTAAACATGATGACATTTTTTCCAAACTTGGCAGATTACTCATATTCAGGGAATAAAAAACACGATACTCCTATTTTGGAATTTCAAAACGTTTTACTCCTATTTAGGGCAATTCCTGAAAATATAATACAAGTGATAGGATTCTAATATATTTGGCATGAGTGTATTGTATTATGTTTGACGGAGAACATGAGACTGCAATCACTGAAGGATGATCGTGAATATGAAGATTTGGTAGAGTTTTGCGAAGTGGATTGTCAATTTAGGAGATGATATTGTGGGTGAAGATAATGATGGATTTGCTAATGTTAAAATTCCGAGCGACATTCCGTTAGAGGGTGGTCCTGGGTGGAGTGGATCGAATCGCCCTATTGAGAAAAGCACCTATCTGGACTTTGAGAATATTGCCAATGACCCATCGTACCTACAAGAACATGGAATTCTAGCTCTAACTTTTGATGTCGTGGATCAAATTAATGAATACACGACATCTTTGAATGTTAAGGAAGAGTCAAGGACATATTTGAGTTTCGATAGCATCAAATGCTGATTGTTAGGCTGATCTTCACACTTCAGAATTTCTAAATAAAATCCGTGCATCAGGTGTTCCGAACCATGAGTTAATCCTTACAGTCAGGACTCCAATAATGCTTATGAGAAATAGTGATCGTTCTATGGGGGCTATGCAATGGAACAAAGTTGATTATTACACGGCTTGGGAATCACATCCCTGTAGCAAAAATTATAGGGTGTATTTATGCTGGACATGAATGCTTCATTCCTAGGTAAAGTTTGAGTCCATCTGATTCAAGAATATCTTTCAAGTTTCAAAAAAGACAATCTCCTGTCATGACTTCTTATGCAATGACAATAAATAAAAGTCAAGGTCGATCTTTGTCACATGTTGGTCTCTTGTTAAAAAAGACAGTGTTTACACATGGTCAACTTTATATTGCAGTATCGAGAGTAACAAATCATAAGGGTTTGAAGATACTGATTTGCGGTGAAAATGAGAAACAAATCGACCATAGTGTCAATGTTGTTTACAAGGAGGTTTTTCGAAATGTGTAGATTATGGATTTCTTACATTAATATTTATGTTTTCCTTACTCTCCAAAAACATTATTCGTACCAATTACGAGTCATAAGTATATTTTCCTAAATTATAATCTTTTATGTGTATAACATATATACTATTTCCATTCATTTAGATATTAATTGCTAATGTTAACAAATAATATGATATAACTATTATTACCTCCGTCCCCCTAAGTTTGGGACGAAGAGGTGTGGTGTGATGCTTAAGAAAAAATAGAATTGTGTGGTTGATATTGAATTGATACAGTGTGAATTGAATAAAGTAAGAATGAATTGTAGCCACTCAAATATTATCAAATATGGTATGAGACAAACTTAATGCATGAGATGAATAAAAAAGGTAAAATGGGACAAAATTAGGCGGGGCGGGGCGGAGGAAGTATTACTTAATATATGTCCTGTGCATCGCACATGTGAGAATCTAGTTACTCCGTACAATATAAAGAGCAGTTGAAACCATTGTTTTCTTTTGTTTGAATATAATTATATGCTAGTTAGTTTATATGGAGTACTATTTAACTTTATTTTGATGAATATCTCCCCTTCCCCCAGTTGGATACCTCTGGGTCTATGGGGAAGGGAAAATAGTATGGGGGTGAAATGGTTGTAGGGAGGATTTTTAGACACGGGGGTGGGGTGGAGGAGTGAACCCTGTAATTTAATCGTCGCGCGTTGCCATCCCCAGCTAGTTTTTTACAATGCCTTTGAACAATGGCTTCTTCTATGTGAAATATATAAAAAAACTGTCAACAACATTGTTTCACTTAATGTATCATGAGTTCGTGAGTAACTTATCTATGAGTGCTAAATAAATTTATGGTCTAAAGATATCGAAGACTTTGAACGTTATATAACTAAGATGAGTCATTTTATTGAAGCATTAATTTTTTAAGCAATGTTGTGAAAAAATTACTCGTGTTGCAGTTTATGATGATGCACGATACATGATATTTCCGAATAAGTTAGAGCTAAATAGATGTTACAAATAAGTAAGAAAATGTGAAATCTCTAAAAAGCGTGATATTAAGTTAGTGGGTTTTGTGATACATCCCCTACGGAATACATTAAAAGGTAAAATCTATTAAATATAATTAATATTAATATCAACATATATGAAGTTCCTTCTCTACATGTAATAGAAATATTACATTTATGTAAAAATGCCAATATATTTATTCTACAAATTTACCACAATTCATATTTTTTGTTGTACTTTCTCACATATTATAATATCTGTTGTATTAAATGTCAATTTCATTGTGATGAGTTCTGAATTTAAGATCTCTTCTTTGGAAGGGTAAGAAACTCATTTAACCACAAGTTACTTGACACCGGAGTTCATATATGATATACTTAAAGTAAGTAGATATATGGTTTTGCATTTGAAATTATTTTAGGGAAAACTATCAAATAGGTCCTCGAACTTTCATAAAAAAGTCAATTAAGTCCTTCTATAGGAGGTTCTGTCCGGCCGTCGCAATTTGGGACAGTTCCCGGTGGAATTTTTTGATGAATTTTTTTGAGCGTCTTATTCACCAAGTCTAGTTTACTCATACCAAATTTCAACTAAAAAATCAATTGGTTACACATTCAAATTAATTCTTGAAAATAACTGCGCATTTTTGCGTTCTCGAATTAATTTGAATGCGCTCCCGATTAAATTTTTAGCTGAAATTTGGTATGAGTAAACTAGACTTGGTGAATAAGATGTTCAAAAAAATTCATCAAAAAATTCCACCGGGAACCGCCCCAAATCGCGACGACCGGACAGAGTCTCATATAGAAGGACTTAATTGACTTTTTTATGAAAGTTCGAGAACCTATTTGACAGTTTTCCCATTATTTTAATATTCAAAAAATATTTAGTTTGAGTCTATTATTTCATGATTTTGTTCAGTCCATTTTAACCCACTATATGGCCCAATGAATAATCAACAGATCAACCTAACCCATTATATACAATTATCCATATCACCTACACTTCAGCCCACCTTCTGCCCCTTTGTGACATCAGCGAAATCAATTCCTTCGATCTACAAGCGCCACTCTCATCCGATCCACACCGGCAGAGATTTTATACCCGCTTCCATGGATACCCCGCCAGTCTCTTCATGGCTAATTACATAAACGGATCTCATATACGACTGAAGCAGTTCTACTATCTACAACAGAAAGACGCAAAGTTACCGAAGACCTTCCCTCTGTTCAGTAGCAAAATCTCCAGATTGGTAGGTTTTCATATGAATTTATTCGTGAAGTTCATTTTTATGTTTCATACCAATCTATCCTAACGCCAAAACCTCTGGTACTGATTTCATTTTCCATTTATTCGTCACGTTCTAATTTTATTTAAGAAAATATGTTTCTTGTTTTTCCTAATCTGTATGAAAATCATTAGATTGAAATATTTTTTATTTATTCGTTTTTAATTGCTACAAGTAACAATTTTGGGTTAACCATCAGTCTGCTGGACCTTACGGTGTTTGACTTCAACTAGATACTCAAATATATTGTTAATCCTTAACATTCAGTTCTTACTTTTACACACATGTGAACTAACTATTTTTCCTTATTATTAGAACTGGTTTTCCTGCAATTAAGAGCAATATTAACTAACTAATATGACTCAACGTTTAAATCAAAACAGTATTGAACCCCTAAATGTAATGTTTTGTTATCCTCATGTCACTCAAACAAATACTTCGTATATGCTAGTTGTTGAATTTTTATCACCCAAAATCTAACAGCCTGTTATTCTTTATAGCCTGGTATTCTTTACATCCTATTATCACTATAAATACATTTCAACTAATTTAACCGTTTTACCATGACTATTGAAAAATACTAACATAAAATATACAGAGTATGGTTTTTCTATAATTAAGGAGCAAACCTATCTAACTAATTCAACTTCCCTTACTGTACGCACATGAATTAACTCTAACTAGAAATGGTACTAAAATCTTGCTGTGATCTTTTAAAAAAATTCAGCCCACTTAAACGATATTTTCTAATGCTAATTTTGTATTCCATTTCTAAAAAAATGCCATCTGCAAGATTATTTTAAATAATTTACCTCTAAATTGTTCTATATACTTCGTGTATGCCTTCTCAGCGAAACAAAAACCAACCATGAATCAAATTGATTGTCTAATACATGTATAAGCTAAAATTTGTATGTATGCATTGCTAATCGCTATACATTAAAGATTTTTTTTTAACTATAATACTAAAGTAATATTTGCCCTCACCAGAGACAGAAACAGAGCTTCTCTTAGCTGTGGATTTAGTTGGTTTACCATTTCCTTAACATTCAATCAAACGTAGTTCTTTTCCTTAACTTGAAACATCTAAAAATCATTCATTATAGAAAAATTACTTTTTTGTTTGGTTGTTTGTAAAAGGTATTAAAACAACAGGTTTGCACATAACTCACACATAAGATGATATATTTCATATTGCAAACTGAGAATGAAAAAGAGGACGAGAAGTGGTTGAAGAATTGATTTTTATTCATTCGTAAAGTGTTAGCTAGGTAGTACTACCTGCGTTACATTATATGTGTCCTACTTTGGATTTGCACAATTATTAATAAAGTAGTTGAAAAAGTAAAAGTTATGGTTGGGATTTGAGTATAATAAAGTAAAATGCTATAGATCACATATTTCTTTCCAAAAAGGAAATGTGACACTTATTTTGGGACAACCCAAAAAGGAAAGTAGGATAGGTAAAATGGGACGGAGAGAGTAGTAGTTATAGAAAAATGAATGATCTTTTCATAAAGAAAATACACATGTCCAATTGTCCATAACAGGTTGGCGATATTTCATTGGCCAAAAATACACTTGTACCAATGAACAGGCTGTTGAGATCATCGTTTGAAATTGGGGAATGCAATTGCGCCTCAAGGCGTGCCTTGGTGATTTTCTCTCCAAATACGATAGAAGGTGTCTCCCAAATCGCGCCATGTTAAGGCTAACGACTTTCAGACATGTGGCGCACACAATAAGCCATACTCGATGAGGCGTAGCAGAGGCGTACACTATTTTGGGTTTAGTGAAAGTGTTTGGGCCCACTTAAAATACACCCGACATATTTACAAAAACTTCCATGCGATAGACAGTATCCTTAGGGGGTGTCTCCAATTAGTCAGTTAGTCCTCATCTCTCTGACATGAATTGCTACAGCAAGTCGCCAATGTATGTCCCCAATATGTCTTCGCTCATCACTTTGCAGTCCGAGCTTTTACCCCTGTTTTTGGTATTTCTTTTCGTAAGTTTTGAAGTCTTTAAAACATTGTTCTCGACTTTTGTTTTCGACTTGTAAACTTGTAGGTTTATGTACTCCGTATTAGATGGTTGTGTTCCAGCTGGTGTCCATCTTAAAAAACGGGGTTAGCATGATTTTACTACTATACAGTTGTTCTTTATTATTTCGGGACTTGATTGGGGTTGTTTATAGTTTGCTCATTGACTAACTTTCATCAATGTTTCTACTGTATATGTTGTCCTTATTTTTAAAATCTAATTTTTTGTAATAAAAGTCTACACTGTAGCTGATACATTTTTTAGTTAGCATATGATATAAGAAGTTCAATACTTCTACTTTTGAGGCTCTTATCTTGTGGACTCGCGTGCTGCTCTATATCATGGGATGTTTGGGCAGTTATATTGTTCACAAACATTTTGCTTTTATATAATGATGATGGTGATAGATAATAGGGCAATTGATGATAATTGTGATATTACTTTTACATTATTTTAACTATTTGATGGTTAAATTGTCATTAGAAAATGTTAATTATTTTCTAAAATAGAAATTAGAAAGAGTCGCGAGCACATTGGGGGCATTTTTTCTTTGGAAGATGGTTTAGTAGGATATTTCGTTGTGATTATGTGGTATTTTAGTTAAGTTAAAAACTTTTGGACTGTTAATATTATTACAATTGTATGTTTGGTCCTAATTTTCTTTTCTTAGATTATTCTTTTAAAAACAAGAATGCTGTTTGCCTTTCCCTTCCTCGTTTCATCTTTCTGTAAGTATTGATACATCTTACTTTGTTGGGGGTTGAAAGACGAAAGCTTATTTATCATTTTGGACAGATTTCTTAGGTTATATTTTATTGTTAAGGCTTCAATTAACTTTATATTATTATACAGAGTATTTAATTATGCATTCATTCTTCGAATGAAGGGGGAGGGAAGAGCAGTAGCAATTAAAGATGCCGCTTTATGACTGCATGCTTTTGTTTAAACCGCATATGAAGGCTGAGGCGCTGACGGATTTGGTTATTAAGGTGGGGAAGCATGTTTATGGTAGAAATGGAGTCCTCACAGAAATAAAATCTCTCGGAACTGTCCAGCTCGGCTATGGCATTAAGAAGCTTGATGGGAGGTATTATCAGGTCTGTTTATTCATTTGTTAGTAAAACAACTTGAGCAGTTTCCGACACATTTAGTTACAGTTAATCAAATAATGAAAGACGGAGAACCTGTTGGTCACTGAAATAATGTAGGGGAAGATGATGCAAATGACGATGATGACACCGCCTAATTTCAACAATGAGTTGCATTACCTGAACAAGGAAGACCGTTTACTTCGGTGGCTGTTGGTTAAGAATCGTGGAGACCTGCAGCTTGATTCTTCCGATAACTATGTACCTTTGCGTACCCAGGTGCACCAAGAGTTTAGGGGTGATGAGAAAGAAGACAGTAGTGATGAAGACACTGAGAACTAAAAAAAATAAAAAGCAGCTTTGCGGCTGGCCATAGCTGCTTTTAACTTGAACTGAGGTTGAGGTATCTGCCCCCTTTTTGTTATTTATGTTCTGAAATGTGAAATGGATAGTCCCCCATGTTAGTAGTATGAACCAAGAAAATTCTCTGATTTATCTAGTGTACAACAATGGCTCTGATCATCTATGATGGTACATCGGTATCCCCCCCCCTACGGGACCACTTAGCGTTGATTTAAATTCAATGTGATGCTTATAATTTCTCAGTAGTAATTTATTTCAAAGTTGATAAATTTTCTGTATGTGATATTCGATATATAGGCTGGTCCAGTTCCTAATCCTGGTTAGCGGGACCAAAATTCTGGATCAGCTCCGGTTCTTGTCCCAAACATCCACACTAGTTTCGAACTGGTTTTATACTCTTAACTAGTCATGGACTGCGTCTCGGTTGTTCTAATTTGGCCGATTTACCAGCTCGATTCTGATCCTATCTAAAATGAGATTGAGACTGCCTTGGTGAATACAAATACTACGTAGTATATTAAGATGACTATTTGATGACCCAATCTTCTCTAACCCACATCGATCAATACTCAGACCATATGTGGGTTTGTGATGTAGAAACAACCTTTGTGGTGAAAAGACCAATGCTTTAATGTTTCTTAAGCGTCATATTGACTCAAGTCTATGCTGAGAATATCATCATTTGTCAACCCCAAAGGTAGGGGTGGACTCGGGCCGGGCGGCCCGGCCCGGTTACTGTTTGGCCCGGCCCGGCCCGGAGCCCGGTGGGTCCACCGGTTCGGTTCGGCCCGGCCCGGCTGATGGGCGGTTCGGGCTCGGGCCCAGGTTTTGGCGAACCGGCCCGGCCGGTTCGGGCCGATTTTTAATTTTTTTTTTTGAATTTTTTTTAAGTTTTGGGTTGGATTAGGTATTTTGGGCCATTTGAGGTGGTTTGGGGTGGTTTGGGGTTGAGGGGGAGGGGTTGGGGGTTAAATAGAAGAGCAAAAAAAAAAAAAATAACCGGTTAGGCCCGGCCCGGCCCGGTTTGGCCCGGAACCGGAACCGGAACCGCCCACCGGCGGTTCGGGCTCGGGCCCAACTTTCCTGGCCTGAGGCCCGGCTGGGCCCAGGACCGAACTACATGATTATCATTTGCCCCTTAAAAATTGGATTGATTCTAAAATACAAACAATATTTAAATTTTAGGTTCAATTTTTTTTTGTCCATATCATACAAGAATGATTCAGGGAGAATTTGATGGCGGGAGCACACTATTATACGAAATAAGTAATTATTTAATAGATTAATAGCTTATAAATCTTCTATGACTACAATGATTGGAACTTCATATGTAATAAGATGACAAGGTACTGCCCAACTTATTGTTGCCTAATGACAAAAAATTTATCGTCACAGACGTTCTATATACACTTGAAGTGTTTCTGCTTTATTAAGTTTTAAAGATATTCGTGACAATAGATTTCATAGGAGAAGGCCAATTCTCGTGGAAGTGAAAAAATGTAGACCAAGGTTGGACGTAGCTGAATCATTTTTTAGAAGAAAATTTAAAAGAATTTCTGGTAAAGAAATTAAAGTTTCAAACCGTCTACCTAACCTAGGGATGGACTCGGGCCGGGCCAACCGGCCCGGAACCGGACCGGCCCGCTACTGTGCGGGCCCGGACCGGCCCGGTCAACCGGTTCGGTTCCGGTTCGGGCCTCCAGGCCCGGTGGTATACCGGTCCGGGCCCGGGCCTCCAGTTTAGTGAACCGGCCCGGCCGGGCCGGGCGCGGTTCGGGCCGGAATTTAATTTTTTTTTTTTGAAATTTTTTTAAGTTTTGGGTTGGATTAGGTATTTTGGGCCATTTGAGGTGGTTTGGGGTGGTTTGGGGTGGAGGGGGAGGGGGTAGGGGGTTAAATAAGAGAAGAAGAAGAAAAAAAAAACATTCCGGGTGGCCCGGCCCGGCCCGGCCCGGTTCTGGCCCGGAACCGGAACCGGAACCGCCCACCACCGGTTCGGGCTCGGGCCTCCTTTTTCTGAACCGAGGCCCGGCCGGGCCCAGGCCCGAACCGGGCCCGAACCGGAACCGGTCCACCCCTAACCTAAGCATGGTATGTGGATTTTGGCTACTATACATCATTTGAACGACTGAGAGGCCAGTTTTTGTTCTAGCTCATTTGACTTGTTCAAAATGTTATTTCGTACAAAATAATGTACACGGTGGAGGAAAGATGTATATTTTCTTAAAAGAACAACCAAAGCCAACAATAGATATATGTGACGAGAAATTAGAAGTACTAACGGTACTTGTCAAACCAATTTGTAGCACATAGAAAATTAGAAACCATTAGGATCATACATATCATCATACATCTACAGGAGAAAAATAAAACCATATAGAACATGTACCGTTTTTAATTTCTGGAAAAAATCACTTACGACACCTCAGGCAAGTAAAGACTTGTTGCATTCTTAGATTAATGAGTTATTGCATTCCCAAAGACCAAAGTTTTATGAGAATGATTTTCCATATGATAGGTTCACTCTATTATTTTGTAATTGTTTAATCTTTTTCATTTTTCATCCATAAAGTTTTATGAGATTGATTTTTCATAGGGAGAATTTGACTTTGCACTCCACTTTTTGGGTGATATTGGACTTTGCACCTTATTTTCAAAAAACTTTGACTTTGCACCCCAACACGTATTATTTTGTGAAGTTCTAAATGATGTGCAAAGTCAAAGGAAATTTAAGTAGAATGAGGTGCAAAATCAAAGTTTTTTCAAAATGGGATGCAAAGTCCAATATCACCTAAAAAGTGGGGTGCAAAGTCAAATCCCCCCTTTTCTATATGACAGGTTAACTCTATATTATTTTGTTATTGTTTTATCTTTTTCATTTTTCATCCATGTTTTTGTGTGTGTGTATGTATATATATATATATATATATATATATCAATTTGTTTTTTACAATCTTTCATATGTCACTAATCTTTCACTTATATAAAAAATCTAGCTAAAAATAAATATTTAGAAAAAATGAACTTTTCAAATTTTATAGATAATATTGATATTGTTGGAAAGATCATATAAAATTATAAAATATGATTTATATTTTCTAAAAATTAGATCATAAATAAAAGGTATAAACATGATTTTAATCCATGCAAATATAACACACTTTGTTTTAGGTCCCTGCGAAATATTTTTTTTCCAACCCTGTAATATGCTCTATTTTCGTTTTAGTCCATCTCTAACTCCAAAACAACGCTGTTTAAATTTTTTATTGTCAATTGCATAAATATTCTAGAGACATTTAAATATATCATTTTATATTTTTTTGAGGCTAATATGAGAGTTAAAATAATAAACAATTAATTATTTTCATTTTTAAAATATGTATTAAAAACCTTCTAAAAATGAAATTAAATACTTTTTGAATGACATGACAAAAAATTATAAGAAACCTATTAGTCGTGGTTGTTTCGTTTTCAAGTGGAGGTTCTTATCATTAGTCATGAATTAAAAATAAAATTAACATAAATTTTAGGAATGAAAAACAAAGAAAATATTTTGCAGAGATCTAAAAAAAGTGTGACATATTTGTAGGGACTATTTAAACTTAAACAAAAATGTTATAACAAGTTAAAGAAAAAAATTAAGGTAATGTGATGCCACATGGCATCAAAGGATGGAAGGGGTGAAGGCCATCCTCTTTAGAAAGAGCCAACAAAATCACACAATTTAATTGGTCATAGTTTCCCTCTTTCTTATGAGTCATATTGTATAACGGGTTGCATTTGTGTGATTTTGATACATTATAAATTTATACTCTCTCAAGCCCAATTTTTTTATCATCTCAGTCCCAATATTATATATATTCATTCTTTCATCCTAATATAAATTTATCTTTTTATTTTTGGTAAAGAATGTGTGTTCATAACATTTCTTCTCACTTTCTCTCTCTTCTGCATAATTTTAAGTCATAAATTACTCACTTTCGAAATCAAAACATCAGTTAATATTGGGACTAGGGGTATGGTTAGTTCATTTTCTCTTTTCTTGATTATTGTCTTCGTGTCTTGTTGTATTCTTTGTTATTCAAATCATTATCTTCTTAAAAAAATGCTCATTCATCCAGTTGAGAGCTTTTTAAAGAAATCTAGTTTAAAGCAAGCTTATGCCAGATGTAAAAATATTAAGTCGTTTGACCATGCCAATAAAGACGTGTTTTGTCAATAGCTCAATTAAGGACAATCATCCTTGATTTGCGTGCCTAATAAAATGTTTAAAGAAATACTTGGAGGTCGAAATAGATGTACTGGTAATACTCCCTCCGTCCCATTTTGGTTGTCCTACTTTCCTTTTTGGATTGTCCCAAAGTGAATGTCTTGTTTCCTTTTTTGGCATGAAATATGTGGTTCTTATTAATTCACTTTATTCTACTCAAATCTCAACCACAACTTTTTACTTTTCAACCACTTTATTAATAATCGTGCCAAATTGAAAGTGGACAACCATTATGGGACGGAGGGAGTATATTATAGGGTATCTTTTAAACCTATGCATCAAACTACGTTTATAGAGTTGCATTATTTATATGTTTGACATCATATAAAATTGAAATATAAAATTGCCTGTCTATAAATTTCTAGAGTCAACGTTTGAATTGACTATAGAGTTAACTCTTAAAATGAACACTATCACGATTTCACCAATATTATACGTAGTATGTCATATCACTTGTTATTATACTCCATTTGATAATATAAATAAAAATAGAAAAAGTAGTGAATAATATAAAAGTAAAAGTATTGCGTCTAAATAAGACTAAAGAGGAAGAAAAACATATTACGGAGTATAATATTACGCACCATTACAGTGTAATTATTTAGCTCTTTAAAGGATTAACTCTTTAAAGTATCTTCCATTACAGATTGACTATTCAACTCGAAAATAGAGGGAGTACATATTCGCACTACTCAACTTCACTTTTGCAAAGCATATATTCACGCAAGATATACTTAACTAAAGTTGTGCCATGCATATATAGTCAATCCCAGCTAAGAGGCACAACTCTATTCTCCTCTCCAATTTAATATACTGGCTGTAAATGCGAAACCTTTGCATTCTTTTTAAATTAGAGGGTCTTTATTACGTGGTACTATTGTACTAATGTACTATCTGTCTATCTATCTTTCAGCAACTAGAAAGTGTTGGAATTATTAAAAATCTGAATAATATCTTCATTGGTAAACAAATTTCTGATTTGATTTGAAATTAAAAACATGTTTATAT